TGTAAGGAAGTCCAAGGCGAAGCCGGGCATCCGCACTTGTTCTTAATAATATGCAGAAGGGTGTTCAGCATACTTCGCAGCTAGGACTGGTAGGTCGGGAGTTCGAAAATCCCTTTCGGTCTTTCATTTCCAATAGCTACCCTTAATGTGCCGGTCTAGTTCGAGCTGAATCACGGGAATCAGGGACGTAGGCGGCAACATATAAACGATATCAACTATGCGCTGCCCAAAGCCGAGCCAATACATGAACATCTGGTATAAATAAAGCTCCATAAACACATGGACCGGGACGATGCGGGACACATGAGAGGCAAAGCAGGAAAGAACGACGTGACTAGTTACTTGCAGCGTCCTCTACGGAATTTCGTGTTAGAAAATAGAATTGGAAGATAAAGTTTAACTATTTTGAATAACCCCTGGACAGTTACACCAAAAGTAAGCCTAATTGCCGTTGACAGTGATGTAGGCAGACTTCCTGATAACCATGGCTAAGGGGATGGATATGCTGACTACTTCACAGTTGATGAACTCTGTAAGAATTAATCAAGGTACACATTTACCACTGTGTGCAGTATAAAACCTGAAAATGAAGCTCAGAATGCGAAAGGAGGAGAGGATAACAAACCTTGCAGCCTTTAAAGGACTGGAGATGATGCATTGCTACAACATGGCCCTTTGCGAGGTCCACAATGTGTATGTAGTCCCGAATACCTATAATAAAAGGAAATTAATAGGTATCAACAATGAACACCTCTCTGATTATCTCACGGCTTCAAGTGACGGAGTGAAAACACCCTACGACAGATCGGCAGCATTAGTTTAAGTTAAACGACAGTAGCAGTTACTTTTGCAGTTCCTCCGATGTCAGTTGACAATAGACCTTGTGAACGAATATAAGGATTTGATTATAACACCCTAAGAAACAGGGGAGCAGTAAACATCCACAAAATAGCAGCCCTAAGACAGAATCGAATTGTTGGTTTCCCGATCTTCTCGGCGGCCGGAGCTTGTCCAGCGTCAATTATCGGCTTCTAAGAAACAACCATAACTATCTTAACAAAGCAGGCACTAGAATGAATAACAGACTAGCCTCAGGAGTCACACCAATTTAATAGCAATTATTCGTCAGGCTGACATGCACGCTCCTGATAGTGAAAGAAATTTGAACAACCAAGCCCAGTGTTTCAGTTTTCTCCTAACACATCTGCTATCCAGTAATGTGAAATCCCAATTACCAGTGTCTTTTAATAACACTTCTCCTAGTCAGTAGGTGACTCAAACCATGAGGAGTATTTAATAGGTAAATGAAAACTACAGGCTTCTTATATCCTATCTTGCTTGCAGGGAGTGTTGTCTTTTCTGCGATCATTCGAGCGATGATATCCACATGCATACTGCTAATTGTCTTCATAGGGGCTATTTTCAACAAATTTCTTAATCCAAACGCGAAGGCACGTCATTCTATTCTCGGTATATGAATATGGTAATATCTCTTTAGTCCAAAAGTTTGAAAGTTAATTTTTCGGTTATCGTGCAGTTACCCAGCTGGACGCTGAATCTCTCGCCTCTTGCGACTGCTTGCACGTACGCATCAGAGGCCCCCAATCATCTTCCAGACTAAATAACATGTCCTCGAAGACGGAATTGTGACGACTCCCACACGCTAACACTTCAGACGCCACCCTCGCGACTCCCGACGTGCACTCGTCCGACTGCCAATTTCTTCTTCACTAGTTCTATATAGAGTACACTACTTCTCCCAGCTGGCATCCTACCGCTTCTATTCCCATACGAGACCGGGTCAGAAGGTCGTAGCCTTAAAGGTCTTTTTTAAATAACCTAATCCACTGCGATAATCGTACCACGGTTTTAACATGCGTCAGTCCGAGAAAAGTATATGGACACAGTCTTGCTAGGTAAACCTAAAGATGGAATTCATTTTTTTAATACGATGGACTGGATTCCCGCATTTTATGCATAGCAACATATGCTTTAGAATCCTGACGGTCAGACTACAACGTTCAGTTGTCCAAGGTTCAAGGTTATGACAGCAACGATCTCCTAACAGGAGTAAATATGTTTACCAAGTCCACTAAAACGACCGCTCTATGCAAATTTGCACAAGAGCACGTCATAAACTGTACTTTACTAAGTGGAGCAATAAGAACGGTCACCGAATGATGTACTCACAACCACATATGTGGGCGCATGCTTCGCCGTGTTTTAAACGTATACAACTTCCAATCGATATGCGAAATGAACAGAAAAAGAGCACTTAGGTGTAGTACGAAGCCACATAATCGCAGTGGGAAAGACGAAGGGAAAGCGAGGCAGCCTCAAAGAGATCGAAAGCTTGGCCTGCAGGAGCACACAAAACAAATTTGGTTTCCGTGCAATGACAACAGCGGAGAGTAGAGACTTTTAGTAGCCCCAGCTAGTAACTGCTAACTGTCCACTATGCTAAATGAAATATATTTCATCTTCTGAGGGAAGAGATATCCCAAGTTTTACAGTTATAAAGCAAAACTGGTAGATATCCAGTTGCGTTGGAGAATTTTAATGAGCAACTGAAGATCAATAATTAGATGAGGAATCGATAGCGGTACTTAGTGCTATTTTTCTATTAAAATCCATATATCACAAACATTTTCGGCTACAACCACCGGAGGCCCAACAGGGGTAGTGATCGAACTTGGAGGTAAAGCAGTTCGTATATCCAAATCTCAGTCAGTGATCGGCTTCAAAAATGATCTTTCATATCAATCCGACATGCGAAGAACACAAAGTACCAAACCATTGTTGTGGTGAACTACGCAGATAAATATACCAGGGACGTAAAATAGCATTGGCAATTTTGTATGTACAAGTCGAGCGCCAGCAGAGATCCGCTCATGTAATTTCGTCTTCCAATTAGCACTACTCGCTCTGAACAAGTAAGCATTATTTTATGGCATAAATGGTTTAGGACTGCCTTGTCAAAACCGCAACTGGACCAAATCCCAAAACCAACGGGCTGTTAGGCTCACCTGTGCCGTCAGGTGTGTCATAATCGTTCCCAAACACGCGCACCTCCTTCATCAACCCCATGGCAGTCTTGGTGATACAGGGAAAGATGTTCTTTGGGGCGCTGCCTGCATCCTCGCCAATCAGGCCAGAGGGGTGTGCGCCCACAGGATTGAAGTAACGCAAATTAATGACTGACCACTCGGGATCGGAGATAGCCAGGTCCTTTTAGGAGAAGGAAGATCATAGTTGAAGGCTCGATTGTAAAAGAGTTAGAAAAAAGCTGAATAATACACGCCTTTATGCAGGACAAACTTTACCCGCAGCATCAGCTCGCCGATGTACTTGGTCGTGCCATAGGGGTTGGCACACTTCCCAACATCACAGTCTTCCGTAATCGGAAGCTTGGAGGGATTGCCGTAGACGCAACAAGAACTTGAGTAGACAATTTTCTTAACATTGTGTGCTGCCATAACCTAGATGTAGAGAAGGCGGATGAGAGATCAAAATTAGAAACAGTGGTGAATGCAACAGCCAGTCCGAAAACCCGCTTTGCTAGCACAGATTACCAGACGAAGTTGGAGAATGTAAATGAGTGAAAAAAGGAGAGTGAGGCAGATGCCAAATTAGAGCAGGAAATAGAAAAAAGGAAGCAATCCCAGGGACGACAACATACCGTCCAGAAGACGGAGTGAAGGCGACGTTGATTTTCGTAAGAAAAAAAAAACGCTTTTCTCAAATTAAGGGAGTCAAGATGCCAAACATCTGCTAAAGAATAGTGCACAATTTGTTGGCTGGCTAACATGGCAGGGTTTGTTTCAAAATTTGGGTGCTGTCAAGGCAAAACATCAAATACGAACGGAGTCTTTAAAATAAGTAAAGCAATTTGTCCCAAAGATGCCACGGTTTGAACTGAGACTGTGTATGGAATGATTCCTACTACTTAATTTACAATAGTATGGAGCCAAAATAAAGCTGCCTGATGACGGAAAACGAGCTAAAATGACTACTACAGTCTTGTTCGATAAAACTTATCAATTACGCGCGTCTCCTCACAGCCTGACGACATTAGACCCGGCGTTCCAGATACAAGACTAATACACTCATTTCCACCCCGTAATCAGACTACATAAGTGAACACTACAGACAGGTAACTTTCTTGATTAAAATACTTATAAAAAAGTTGTACATCAAATAAGTCGTCATAAGAACACCCCTCGTATATTCTAGTAAAACATGATACCTTCAGGTAACCTGAGCAGGTTACAGGGTAGGCCGGGGAAACTTAAGTAAAGCTTGACGGTTGAACGATGGCCATAACAAAAGCTGAAACCATTGACGCGGTTTGAGAAAATTCGTTAGAAATTTTCAAACGAATATTCTTCAAGGCGAACTATTAATAACAATCAGTGTCAACGATTAATTGAAACACGCAGAATATTTTTGAATACGCAAAATAGCCCTTCGCATCCCTCGATGCCATTCACACCAGACGGATATAAATAGTCCACTAAATTAAAACTAAGTCAGGTAACACAACGACCTCTTGAGTCCACTCGTCACCAATGGCTGGATTGGAGTTACTAAACAGTTCTTAAGGCAACCGGGAGAAAACGAAGGCCATACAAATGAAGTGATTTGAAAATATCACCGACTCATTTTAGTTAAACCCTAAAATAGAAAGAGACTGAGTGGGTTTGTAAAAACATTGAGTGATTACAAACGACTTCTGATAGACTGGATGATGTGATCGGTGAAAGGTAGAGCGTTGAGAACAGAAGGCGACCCAAAGACTGACAGAGTCCGTCTATCATCAAGTCCTAGCACCAAGAGTCGGCAGGTGATGGTAGAAGCGACACTTAAGTCAGATCCATAGGAAACAAATTGAATAGGCAATATATAAAAACATTAGCCTCACCTGCAGAAGGTTAATGAAGCCAGTAACATTGTTTTCGTAGTAGCTGAGGGGAATGGCCACAGACTCGCCAACGGCCTTTAGGGCCGCAAAATGAATGACGAAGTCAAATTTGAACTACAAAAAGAACAAACGGGCGTGGTACAGGAGACAGAAAGACCTTCACTAAATCAATCAATAACAATAAACCTCTGTCCATAAGAGGTTTTAGACACATTTTTTTAAAATCATACGTCACATGTACAACTAACTGAGATTTACAAAAATGGAATTTTCAGATGCAGCATCTACTTTACATAAGGTGCGCTGAAAAAAGGATCGAAGGAATATTCACTGCAATTGCGCACAATAGCACACATAGCGGCAAGAAAATGACACTAATCCTACAAGCACTGTCAATAATAAATGTCAGGAGGGTAGAGATAAGTTATGTTACCTCAAATAGGACTCATTCGTCCCGTGAGCGTCCATCTACCAGTGTCCTGGCCGAAACATGAAAGAAGATCCTGTGGCACAATAGTCAGAGCATTGACTACCTAATCAATACGTCACGGGTTCAATCCTCAGATATTACAACGCCTGGGGTTGTGTTCGGCTGTCTGATGGCGGCTAATAGGCCAGAAACGGCCATTCTGGCCTTCCTTGTCTTTTTCGGTAATGCATTTCTAGCTATCGAATTCTAGTCGTTGAGCGGCTTCTGGCAGGGCTGGAGAGCGAGGCTCAAGGCACAACGGGATGAGTGAGCTACATGCCGATCGGTGAACGTCCATCAATCAATGCTATTATAAATCTTTACGAAATTGGCGGTGGCTTCTCTGCTCACTATACGTGGTGACAAATGAGGGAGGGAGAGGGAGGAAGAATGAACCAGATTCTGGAAAACCTTTCTTTATTATAGTAAGTCTGGCCTTCTGTTGATCTACTATAGCCTTTCAAAATTGGCGGACTGGACAGCTACTACTTTGTGAGGTAAAGCGGTCTTGAGACAAACATTGCCGGTAAAGACAAGAGAAACCGGTAGCTAGTCATGCCCAACCCCAGTT